ATTCTACTGTCTTTCCTCTTCCAGCTTTCCCGTCTCTCACTTCCTTCCTTCCACTCTCTCTCCTCTTCTTTCCTGTACCTCACTTCCTCCTCCCCACTCTTTCCTCTACCTTTTTCTCTCCCTTTCCCCCACTTTCTCCCCACCATCCCCTCACTATCATGTGTTCAGCTCTTTCTCTCACCCCCTCCCACCCCTTTCTCCTCTTCATCTTTTTTTGTCTTTCTCTACTCCAATCTCACTTTCCTTCCTTACATCTTTTCTCTGTCCTCTTTCTCCTTGTCTCATCTTTTTTTTATTTTCTCTCTTCCTTCCTTCATCTCAATTCCTTTACTGACATTTTTTCTCTTTTCTCTTTTCTTCCTCTTTTTCTCTCCATCACTACCTTTCACTCTTTCCCCTTCTTCTTTTTTTTCCATTCTTCTTTCTCTTTCTTACTCACTTTTTCTCCCATTCCTTTTTCCCTCTTCCTTCTTTCCAACTTTCTGCTCTTCTTTAATCCCTTTTCCTCATTCTTCTCCGTGTCTCCTCCACTCTTCGTTCTTCCCTTCGCTCTTTCCTCTGTCTCCATTCCCTCCTTCTCACTGTTATTCTCTCTTTATCCCTTCTTTTCTTTTCCATTCCTTCCTCCCCCTTTCTAGTTCTCACTCTTCCTTACTTCCTCCTTACTATGATGCCCATCCCCCTTTTCATCCTCCCTTTCGCTTCCATTTCCATCCTCATTCCCATCACCCATCAACACGACGGTTGACACAAGCTTCTTCCTCCCGCAGACAACACCGCCCTTCACTTCGCTGCCAGGAACGGACACCTTTCTGTCGTCCAATTCCTGGCGGAGAAGGGCGGCGACCTCAACGCCAGAGACCGTGATGGTAAGTCGACAGGAGCGACATTTCTCTTCTTACTGTCATCATTGATTGTATTGTTATTATCTTTAAAGTCATTATTATTATTCTTTGTCATATTCATAGAAATTAACAATTGTAATGATGGTAATAGGAATAATAATAATAATAATAATAATAATAATAATAATAATAATAATAATAATAATAATAACGATAATGATAATGGAATGATGATGGTAATAAAAAAAAAGAAACAGAAACATAAAGAATAAAAGTTAGAAAATAAAAAATATTTGTACTAAAAGAGAATTCACAAATAAAACATCAAAACAATAAAAATATGAAGATAAATGAAGTAGCAAAAGAAGAAAGATGATAATAAAAGAAAATCAAACAATAATAATGATAATAATGATAACGCTTCGGTAAGGCAACAGGAGCAACAATTCTATTCTTGCAATTGTTTTTGGTTATATTCTTGTTTTTTATCAGTATTATTATTCTTTATCATTAAAATAGTAATGAAAAAAAATAATGGAAGTATCATAATAAGGATAATATCAATAATATCATTATCATTGCTGTTATTATTATTAATGACTAATATTTCTATTGTTATAATTGTTCTTATTGTTATCGTTATCATTGTTGTCACTATTATTATTATCATCATTGCAATCATCAGCGTTGGTTAGTTTCTTTGTCCGTTGGTTTGTCTGTCGGTTAACAGGATAACTCAAAAAGTTAAGGATAGATTTTTATTGGTTTATTTTATTTATTTATTTATCTATTACCAGAGGTTTGTCTTAGCGGGGGAGGGGGGAGATGGTCACTGGGAGTTCAAGATTTTCAAGGACGATCATATGTACGTAAACACACGCACATGAGGTTAACCATTTTGACCATCATTCACTTCATTTTCCTCCAATTCCTTCGACCTCAACGCCATTGGTAAGTCGACAGGAGCGACATTTCTCTTCTTACTGTCATCATTGATTGTATTGTTATTATCTTTAAAGTCATTATTATTATTCTTTGTCATATTCATAGATTAACAATTGTAATGATAATAGAAATAATAATATAATAAAATAATAATAATGATAATAATAATAAAAGTAATAATAATAATAATGTTAATGGAATGATGATGGTAACAATAAAAATAGAAAACTGAAACATAAAGAAGAATAAAAGTTAGAAAATAAAAAATATATATACTAAAAGAGAATGCACAAATAAAACACCAAAACAATAAAAAAAATATGAAGATAAATGAAGTAGCAAAAGAAGAAAGATGATAATAAAAGAAAATCAAACAATAATAATGATAATAATGATAACGCTTCGGTAAGGCAACAGGAGCAACAATTCTATTCTTGCAATTGTTTTTGGTTATATTCTTTTGTTTTTTATCAGTATTTTATTCTTTATCATTAAAATAGTAATGAAAAAATAATGAAAGTATCATAATAAGGATAATATCAATATCATTATCATTATTGTTATTATTATTAATGACTTTAATATTTCTATTGTTATAATTGTTCTTATTGTTATTATCATTATCATTGTTGCAATCAGTTTCTTTGTCCATTGGTTTGTCTGTCGGTTAACATGATAACTCAAAAAGTCATGGATAGATTTTTATTGATTTATTTATTTATTTATTTATTACCAGTTTGTCAGCCATGGGGGAGGGGGGGATGGTCACAGGGAGTTCATGATTTTCAAGGACGATCATATGTACGTAAACACACGCACATGAGGTTAACCATTTTGACCATCCTCATTTAGTAGGCCTACATCCATCTTTCCTCTTTGTTTACTTTTCTTATCCACTTTCTCTCCATTTCTCTTCTTTTGAATCTCTCACCCACTCCCACCCCTTTCTCCTCTTCATCTTTTTTGTCTTTCTCTACTCTCCACTCTCATTTTCCTTCCTTACATCTTTTCTCTGTCTTGACTCTTCTTCTCTATTTTCTCTCTTCCTTCCTTCATCTCTCTATTCCTTTACTGACATTTTTTTCTCCTTTTCTTCCTTTTTTTCTCCATCACTCTCTTCTCTACCTCCCATTCACTCTTTCCTCTTCTTCTTTTCCATTCTTATTTCTCTCTTTTACTCCCTTTTATGCCTCTTCCTTCTCTCCTGCTTTCTGCTCTTTTTCTTTATTCCCTTTTCATTATTCTTCTCCGTGTCTCCTCCGCTCTTCGTTCTTCCCTTCACTCTTTCATCTCTCTCCATTCCCTCCTTCCCACTGTTATTCTCTCTTTATCCCTTCTTTTCTTTTCCATTCCTTCCTCTTCCTTCCTAGTTCTCACTCTTCCTTACTTCCTCCTTACTATGATGCCCATCCCCCTTTTCATCCTCCCTTTCGCTTCCATTTCCATCCTCATTCCCACCACCCATCAACACGACGGTTGACACAAGCTTCTTCCTCCCGCAGACAACACCGCCCTTCACTTCGCTGCCAGGAACGGACACCTTTCTGTCGTCCAATTCCTGGCGGAGAACGGCGGCGACCTCAACGCCAGAGACTGTGGTGGTAAGTCGACAGGAGCGACATTTCTCTTCTTACTGTCATCATTGATTGTATTGTTATTATCTTTAAAGTCATTATTATTATTCTTTGTCATATTCATAGAAAGTAACAATTGTAATGATGATAATAGGAATAATAATAATAATAATAATAATAATAATAATAATAATAATAATAATAACAAAAGTAATAACAATAATAATGATAATGGAATGATGATGGTAATAAAAAAAAAGAAAACAGAAACATAAAGAAGAATAAAAGTTAGAAAAAAAAAGAGAATGCACAAATAAAACACCAAAACAATAAAAAAATATGAAGATAAATGAAGTAGCAAAAGAAGAAAGATGATAATAAAAGAAAATCAAACAATAATAATGATAATAATGATAACGCTTCGGTAAGGCAACAGGAGCAACAATTCTATTCTTGCAATTGTTTTTGGTTATATTCTTGTTTTTTATCAGTATTATTATTCTTTCATTAAAATAGTAATGAAAAAAAATGAAGTATCATAATAAGGATAATATCAATAATATCATTATCATTACTGTTATTATTATTAATGACTAATATTTCTATTGTTATAATTGTTCTTATTGTTATCGTTATCATTGTTGTCACTATTATTATTATCATCATTGCAATCATCAGAGTTTCTTGTCCGTTGGTTTGTCTGTCGGTTAACAGGATAACTCAAAAAGTCATGGATAGATTTTTATTGATTTATTTTATTTATTGATTTATTACCAGTTTGTCAGCCATGGGGGAGGGGGATGGTCACAGGGAGTTCATGATTTTCAAGGACGATCATATGTACGTAAACACACGCACATGAGGTTAACCATTTTGACCATCCTCATTTAGTAGGCCTACATCCATCTTTCCTCTTTGTTTACTTTTCTTATCCACTTTCTCTCCATTTCTCTTCTTTTGAATCTCTCACCCCCTCCCACCCCTTTCTCCTCTTCCTCTTTTTTTTTTTTTCTCTACTCTCCGCTCTCATTATGCTTCCTTACATCTTTTCTCTGTCGTCTTTCTCCTTGACTCTTCTCTATTTTCTCTCTTCCTTCCTTCATCTCTTTATTCCTTTACTGGCCTTTTTTCTGTTTTCTCTTTTCTTCCTCTTTTTTTCTCCATCACTCTCTTCTCTACCCCCCCTTTCACTCTGTCCCCTTCTTCTTTTTTCTATTCTTATTTCTCTTTCTTACTCCCTTTTTCTCCCATTCCTTTTTCCCTCTTCCTTCTTTTCTCCTACTTTCTGCTCTTCTTTAATCCCTTTTCCTCATTCTTCTCCGTGTCTCCTCCGCTCTTCGTTCTTCCCTTCACTCTTTCCTCTCTCTCTCCATTCCCTCCCTCTCACTGTTATTCTCTCTTTATCCCTTCTTTTCTTTTCCATTCTTTCATCTTCCTTCCTAGTTCTCAGCTCTTCCTTATTTCCTCCTTACTATGATGCCCATTTTCATAGAAAGTGATAATTGTAATAATAATTATGATAGTAATGATAATGATAAAAAATAATGGAATAATAATGATAATAATAAAGATAAAAAAATAAACATAAGAATAAAAAATTAAAAACGAAACAAACTAAAACAGAGTAACAATGAAAACAAAACAATAAATATGCGAAAATGATCAATGAAGAAACATAAGAAAATAACTGAAGATAAAAGATAACAAAGAACAATAATAATAATGATAAAGATGCTTTGGTAAGGCAACAGGAACAATTCTTTTCTTACAGTTATTAGTTGTATCATTGTTTGTTTGTTTGTTTTTTTTTTTTTCAATACTGTTGTATATCATTGTCCTTAGAATAGTAATGATAATAGTGAAAGTAAATGTCCTAATAAAGGCAATAATATATATAAAAAAAATATTATCATTATTATTATCATTATAATAATTATTAGTATTATCATTGTTGTCACTTATTATTATTGTTACAATTATCATTATTATAATCATTATCAATATTGCTTTCTCAACATAATAGTATTAAGATCCTCCATCCCATGAGACACACAAGCAGTTCAAATCGAAATGGATTTTTCTTCTCCATTTCATTTTGCGATTCGTGGAACCAAGCAGTGTCTCGAGAGGAAATAGTCTCTCCGGAAAATTGACTCATTGGCACCTTTCGCCATGGTCCCGCGCTCTTAGTGAGAGAAAAAGTGGTTTGCATGCCAGTATTTTGCATATTGAGGGCACCCCGCGACTGTTCTCCACACATCCGATGATGTTTATGATAACTAGTGTTTTGAGCTGTTATATTCTGTGCTTTGAACGTCATTTTTGTCTCAGTCAAAGCGTGCGCTGTTGGGGGAGGTTGCCAATTAGTCAGTTTCCCAGAGCCAATATTTGATCTCGAGATTTATTATGTTGACAAAATCGCCAAATGATCTGAGTGCGTGGAGAGAGAGTGAGTGAGTGAGTAAGTGAGAGAGAGAGAGAGGGAGAAGGAGAGAGAGATAGAGAGAGGAAGAGGTGGAAAAAGAAAAAGAAAAAAGAGAATACGATGAAGGGAGAGAGGGGTGTAATAAGAGATGGGAAGGAAGAGGAGAGTGAGAGTGTAAAAGGAGGAACAAGAGAGACACAGAGAGAAGAGAGCAAATGGAAAGAGTGGGAGATGGGAGATGGAGCAAGAAAGAAAGAGGGGAGAAAAAAAAAGAGTAAGGAAGAGGAGACACAGTATACTCATATCTTGCTATCTATATGTATATATAGATGTTTATATATGTATTTGTGTGTGTATATATATATATATATATATATATATATATATATATATATATATATGGGAGTGTGTGCATATACATACATACAGAGATATAGAAAAGGTTTAGTTTACTTCCCATTGTTACAATGGATAATCTTTGCTGTGACCTAACCTAATCTAACCTAACCAAGGAATGGCCGGGTTGCCATCCACTGGCAGCGCGGGGATCGAATGCTGGTCGGCAAGATTGCTAAAAGAGAAGAGAGAGAGAGAGAGAGAGAGAGAGAGAAGGGAGGGGAGAGAGAGAGAAGAGAGGAAGAAGAGAATGGCAGATGGAAGGACGAGGAGCGAGAGAGACGCTACTGAAGGCGTTGCGGCTCCACGAATCCTGTTCCGTGGCTCTTGTCGCTGCGTCGCTGTGCAGCGAATCCTTCTCTTGAAGTTTCCCCGAAAGTTGGTGGCGTCCCTCGACCCATGCGCCGTCCCTCGCAAGGAGCGCGCAGCCAGGCTGACCGCGTGTTCGGAACCGTTGTTAGCGTCTTCCTTGGCTTTCATTTTCGGGAGTTTTATTTATCATCATTATGATGATGATGACGATTATTAATATGATGATGAATAGAATGATGATCATTATGATGACATGGATTATTATCATTATGATGACAAGGATTATTATCATTATGATGACAAATGTTATCATTATTGTTATTACTGTTATATTTATAATCATTTTTATTATTTTATTGTTATTATTATCATTGTCATTGTTATTTTATGCATTATTTTCATTATTAATATTTTCATTATCTTTATTACTGTCCTTGTCTTTATTGTTATTATTTCTCTTGGTATATGATATTATTATTTAAATAATTGTATTGTTTTGCTATCATTATGATTTTTTTGGCATTGTGGTTATTGTGATTATTATTTCCTTATTATTGTTATCAATATAATCATCATTATTATTACCCATTGTTATTATTATCATCAATATTGTTGCTATTATCTTTATGTCTGTCATTACGATTATCGTTATTATGCGTTTTTTTTTATCATATCTTTATAGTTTTATCATTTTCATAATTCATCATCATTATCATTATCAACATCAGTTATAATTATCTTCGTTATTATCATTATTTTTTCATCATTCTTCTTTCTTATTATTATTATCATTATCATTATTACTGTCAATATTTTTTTTATATTGTTTTTCCTAAATATTACTAGTTCTAATGATAGACATTTTTCTCTTCTTTTCCGTCTCTCTCTGCCTGTTTCTCTCTCTCTCTCTCTCTTTCTCTCTCTCTCGTTCCGTCCCTCTCTCTCTCTCCATTTCTCTCTTCTTTACTTCTTCCTCGCTTCTTCTTTCTATTGTCTTTCTCTTCTTTTAATCATCCCTTTCACTCTCTCGTCTCTTCTTCCCCATTTTCCCTCCTTTCCTCTGTCTCTTCCTGATTCTTCCCTCATTCCCTTCCTCTACCTCACTTCTTCCTCCCTTCTTCTCTCTTTGCTCTACCTTTTTCTCTTGCTTTTCCCCTCTCTCCCTAACCCACTGTCTCCTATTCAGCTCTCTCCTTTCTTTATTTTTCGTCTTCCTCTATGCATTTTCTTCTCTTCCACTTTCACTCTGTCTCTTTCTCCTCTTCCTTCTCTGCTATATTTCTCACTCCCCTTCTTGTTCCTCTTCTTTATAATCCTCTTGTTCTGCTGTCTTGCTCTGTTCCCCGCTTCCTCTTTCATTTGCATCTTTTCTCTGTCTTTTTTCTCTCCTCATTTTCTGACTTCCGTTCTCTTCTTTTCTCCTATATTCCTCCTTTTTTCTCCCTCTTTTCTTTATTCCCTTTTCTTTTTCTCTCTCCCCTTCTTCTCTTCTTCCTTTCCTTTTTTCTCTCTTCCCTTTTCTCCCAATCGCCATTCCCTCCTCTCTTTTCTTTCCTACTCTCTGCTCTGCCTCCTCATTTCTTTATTCTTCCTTATCCCCCATTCTTCTGTTTCTCCTCCGCTCTTCGTCCTCCACTCTTCGTTCCTCCCTTCGCCCTTCCCTCTGTCTCCTTTCCCTCCCTCTTAGTGCAAGTCTCTCTTTCTCCTTTCTTTTCTTTTCCTTCTCTCCTCTTCCTTACTCTCTCTCTCCTCCGCCTCTTCCTTCCTCTCCTCTCTCCTCGGGAAGGACGCCCTTATACCGTGAAAGTAACAATGAAGATAATATAACAATGAAATAATGATAGTAATAATAATGATGGCGATGAATGCAATGGAAAAAAGCAAACAGAAAACC